ATTAGGTCAAAATGTAATTTGCTCAATATCTGACCAAATACCTAACTCATGACTATCCCATTATCCTCAGCTTTATGCCTGTTTTATGTTTAGTGCTAGTTAGCAAATGTTAGCTAGCTTGCAACTAGGTAAACATACCTGCTAAGCATCAGCATGTTAGCATTGTCTTTGTGCGTGTGTTAGCATACAGACGTTAGCACCACTGTTACTAAGTACAGCCTCACAGAGCTGCTAGCATGCCGGTAAACTACACTGTTTTAGTAATTATTACAAAAAAGTATACATCGTTTTGTCACTTTGTCACTTTCATATGTATTTAGGACACACCATTAGTCTTAAAGTGAATTAAATATAAAAAAAATTCATGCTCAGTGGTCATTTTTGAATTACATTTGTTGCCATTGACTTTGCACAGCCAGTTCTTGACTCAACCTTCATAATGGCACTGGCCATGGTTGCTGAGAGGTTTGTAAAGTAATGCCACGGACTGAATTTCCTGCCCATCCCCCGCTCGTTCTAACGTTTGCATGAGGATGCCACAATTTTGGATTAAGGCCATAACTGTGCAAGCCAGACAATAGGAAGACAGAAAGCATGCCTGAGCTGGGTGTGTTAGTGGTGATACCTGTTTTGTGTAGTTGGTGACTTAAAAGAGCCCAAACCACAGCTGCATCAGAGCAGGCTTCGGTTTTTACATTTCGATAAGAGCTTGGAAATCACTGAAAACACATGACAACAGAAAATACTTTTTTATTTAATTTTACTCTTGTTTTTGTGACAGAAAATGTCACTTTAAGTTCCCCCCGTGTTTAATTATCATTTTTATGTTGTGTAATGTAATGTTTCCTGTCTTATGGTTGGACCTGCAAAACAAAAAGACTCATAGCAATAACATGACCACGGCCACAATGTTCCTCCCATTACCTCAGTATGGTGGCATAATGATGATGGGAGCTGACATCATGCATGCCACTGATTTCTTTCTTTGTGCTGCTTTTCAACAGCATGTTATTAACATCATTTAAGGTTTCCTCCACGGTCTTATACACCCCCCAACCCCCTCACAGACACGAGGATGAGGAGTGCATTGTTCTACCAGGGCCCAGCTGGATTCAATGGCTGTGAGCAGCCCTAACGGTGCAGCAGCTACAGTATAGTTAGTCACAAAGGTGGCAGGGAAATTACAGTGTACACATACTTGCAGTTTGGACGTCTTCCACTTCTGGAAGCCAATAAAGACTGCATATGCTGCTGCCAACAACTGCAAAAGCTATACTTGGATGTAGAAGTTCAGGCCGTGCCAAGATATTGCTCACCAAGCACGGCTCATACAGAACAATATGTTTTAATGATCGGATTCAATAAAATAATGATGATTGGTTCCATTAGATCCTTACAGAATATCTCTTTCAGGAGTTGGTGCACTGACACAATTTATTTCATTCTTAACAATAGCTCTATTGTCCGTGAGTGTGTGCACTCATACATAGGTTTGCATGCGAACTAAAACCCTTTGGTTCCACCAACCTAAATACTGCAACTTGTCTGCCCACTTCCTGTACAGAGAATTACAATACTGTAAAACCCCAGTGAGAAGGGTTTTTTCAGTACATCACATGTGGATATCTGTTTCTTCTTATACACCAGTTCTTAGACTTCCTGATTACAAATCACTTAAGATCTAAGTCTGCGCAGCTTTATTGTTAGTCAAGAACAGACAGAAAACTACAGAGGAAAACTATAGCTGACAAATCCTTTCAGTCCGTGCAGCTCTAAAAGAACTTGGGTTTGGCTGTGTGTTGTCTCTGTTGCCATGCCTCTGAGTAGCCACTTGTGTCTGTACTTCTTCCTCTCTTCTCAAATTTTACACAGGGTGTGCAGCTGAACCACAAATCTCCTGTCTGGTGCCATCGCAGAGGTCCAGTGGATAGGACAAGAATGAATGATCAGCAAAATAAAGTCTCGAAAGTTAAAGAATTAGTTGTTAATGGCTCCTGTGAGTGTTACATAATTTAAAATCATGCTATTGTATTATTGGGTAGTGTTGTTACTGCTATTGATGCAACATGTGAGCAGCATTTTATTAATGCAGCTAGTTGAGGTGGAGCTAATTTATATTCTAATGGGTTGTTTAATATACTGCATATCAATGCATCATATGCTCATGTTCTGCAAAGCCTTTAGTTACAGTAGCTGTAAAATAAAAATTGTGTGTGTAAATGTAGTAATATGAGCAGTATAAGTACCTAAGTGAATGTACTTTGCACCACTATGATATAATAACCAGGCACACAAAGGAGAAATACCTTACTGTTGAGGTGTGGTTGTGGTTCACTCTGTACTGGCATCAATAAAAGAGAATATTTTCATGTGGTAGTTTTGGTTGCAAATTTGACATTGGCTACAGCGCCTATGGTCTGAATCTCTACAAGAGTCAATCTTGATAATCTGGGCATTTGTTTTATTGTGTTTGTGTGTGCCACCTACATTAAAAAAAAGTAAATTATAGCATTTTTTTTTATTCTTTATTTTCTATTTAACTTTTATTCACCCAGGATGTCCCTTGAGATATACTTTCTCTTTAAGAAGAGAAGCCTGGGCAAAGTGGCAGCATAGAGCGTAGAATAGTTTTTATTAGGTGACACATATAGTCACCTAATAAAAACTATTAATTTACAACATCCACTTATTAGAAAGCATATAACACAATATGAGGAGCGAGCTTAACTTTTTAAAACAGTCACATTTATCATGAAACTAATTTTTAATGTGGTTTCTAAATGAAGATGTAGTACAGAGATGTACTTCTTTTCTTAAAAAGCAAAAAATGTGTTCACATCAAGATGTTGATTCATATATCAAAAGTCACACAGAAGAACAGCACAGAAAAAAAGCTGTCTGCTTAGTTTAGTTGAGATGGATAAGTTTCATATGTTATTATTTCAATCAGCTTAACCAAGGGCTGAGGACCTCCAGTATGGCTTCCTGCAAACCTATAGGTGTGTTACTGTACACTTAAGGGCCTGCTAGTATTTTAGTGTACAGTATACTGTAGTAGTATTACACTATACTGCTAGTATAATTATCTCCTCTGATTGAAGTTATTTTCCCTCATTTGCAGTGGAGACTTTCTGCACTTTGAACAGCCTGGTGTGCATTGTGCCTGCGTGACATTGAGCATGATAGGTATACACACAACACGTAACCCTACTGTATGCACTGACATGCACAGCAGAACACACACAAACACACGCACACACTGAGATGATGGATTAATAGCAGAGGAGTGGTCAGGCGGCTGCAGGCCCTCCAGGGAGCCGACCTGCAGCAGAGAGGCCACCCAATCACGGCACATTCCTGCATGCGACTGTGTTTGCAGCCCTGCAGATACGACACCCTGCAGGTATTCCTGCTCGGCCCTGAGTAAAGGCGTGCCATCAGAAGCGATAAGCAAGACCTTATGACTGAAGAAATTCAAACAGGTTATTCAAATATCTTCAAAAGAACCGAATCTTGGATCAACGAATGATTAATGATAGATTAACACAGGCCATGAATTTATTATGGATAAATCATTGAACCAACAGAAAGTTTCACTTGATTTATCTGATGATGCTTTACATTGCTGCTGTGATTAATGGACTCACGAACTGTAGTCAGAAAAACCTAATGAAATTAGAATTTGAAATTGTGTTTCATTTGAATAGCCAGGCAATGTTGCAAACAGCAAATCGATGCCTCCACGTAGGTAAATGTTCAATGTATTTAATCAGCCCAGTTTCACATTATACAACATTATACAAAGTCCATCAATACATTGATGGAACAGTACACACCGGGCTGTCTGATGAGGACTAATCTCACTATGTTGACTTTGTCTTATTGTGTTTTGAAAGGCCTTTATGGCTGCTACTGCACTGTTGTTTGATCAGCGATTATAGAAACACATTGACCATAAGATCACATCAGCAGACATATTACTGTCTGAGAATCAGCATTAGTCACAGGGATGAGATATCTGATCCAAACGCCCGACTGCGAGGATTAGTCACCGTGGAGGAGTGACAAGGCTGTGTGGAGCTGAATAAGGGTTTAGTCTTACACCTTTTGATTCCTGCCTAGGTGTATAAGACAGTATCACATGTCAAATGCAGCTTTGTGCTATCAAAACAATCCAGGAAACTGTCAAATTCATCTCAGCAAAGCCGTCTGAGAACAAATCCCATGCTGTGAATGATGACTGGGATGGATTATCAACGTAATATCAAGGTGCAGGGATACCTTTCATATACTTTTAAAGAAATGACTCACACAGTGTACAAATATAATTTGTGTATATGTGCGTGTCTCTCTCTGATGTAAATGTGTGTACAATTGACAGCTTCCAGTCAATGGGTCCATCAGGGATAGCAGTTGTATTGTTCAGTCTCATTTCCTGCATGTTTGCTCAGCTGTACAGATGTGTACCAAATGTGTGTTGAAAGTGTAGATTTCCTCCTTGGCAACATCATGTAAAGTCTACCAAAACAGGGAAATACAGGTCTCTTTTCATTACAGCTTTGTGTAGAAGGTGTTTTATTATAAAGATTTTAACTGATCATAGTTGTAGATGGTAACTCATGTTAATATTCTCAACAAATTAGGATGCAAAGAGGTGGGTGTTTAATTTCAGCAGTCACATTGTAATGGCAACAGTGTAGCCTGTTAGTGACTTTTTCCATATTTGCCATATGTGCTGATTTTATCGTGGGATTTTTAAAATTAGGAAGCTATCCTATAGTTAGTGGTTGAATAATGATACGAAACTATGCTCCAGTTAGGCTACAACATAATATATAACACACAGAGTATACTATAAAATATATCAATCAGTATGTGACATAGCCTCTACGCTGCCAGATATTTTTACTTCACCACACTGATCCTTTTTTCTTATCACATTAGTATTAATGGAAATTATAATATTTCCGAGCGCGTCTGAAGGCATCATCTGAGTTCCACACATCCTGTCGCGTGCAACAGCTTTGCCGCGAAAAACTGAGGAAAACAGAGCCAGGTAGGAGCGATTAAAACAGCAAAATATAGCAGAAGATACGCTATTTTAATCAAACTATGGCTAAAATAACTCTGAAAAAATACGTCCAGAGTCACTTCATGTTGAGGTTTGTGGTGTATTATCTGCAGAGGAGTTTATACAGTGAACTAGTTAGCTGACCTTAACTTAAGCCATGTTTCACTGTTAGCTAACTACCTACTTTTTCAACAAGTTACTCTTGTGTATTCATTTTAAGTTGTGCTCTCAGAGAAAATGGGAGATATGCTGATACTTTCTGACCAGGTGGAATTAAAACCAAACTGTTAACTCTCATTGTTTTATTTGTTTAACCTCATTTTACAGTCTGTAAATGTGATAAAAACTGGCCTGGATATAAAGTAACAAAATGGCTGCTCAGACCTACATTGCCATCTCAGAGCTGCACCCAAACGTCTCCCATCCGGTGAGTTCAGAGGATTTTTTTTTCAGTCAGTTACAGAAATTTAATATATTTATAATTCTGAAAGCAGCCCTTAAAACAAATCAGTGTCTAATAGCCAGGAATCATTTACACTGGTGATGATGCATTTCAGACCTGTTGTGTGTTGAACTGTGAAAATATTCTGCACACTGTCATTGTCCTTGTAATGTTTTTTTCAGAAACTGGCAGGCATCATTATTGGGAAATCTGATGTCAAAAGCTTTCCTGACAGAAAAAGTTAGTATCTTTTTATATTATTGCACTTAAGTTGTTATTTTCATTTAAAAATATATATAATATAATAATCAGTCCTGCACCTCAGTGTCTTGTACACCAGCCCCCTCTTCTGGAGAACAGATAAATGAATATCTCTTCTCTGAGCTTTTCTCTCCTCTTCTTTTCCATTGAACTGCAATGCTAACCGAACCAATATGTCTGAATTTCAGATATTGGTGTAGACAGATTCACATTTGGCTTCACCGTAAAGGACTCACCTGACTTCTTTATTAATGTGACAGCCTGGGGAAACGATGGATACATCAACGGGCTCTCCAGCAGCTTCAGCATTGGAGACTGTGGTCAGGAAGTCATTCTCAAAGTTCCAACAAGCCTTTAAGATTCTTGAAAATTTGTGGATTTGGCAAAAATATATGTATATTTTATATATTAATAACAGTAGCATTTAGCATTCTGTGACGTATTTCTGTAACTGTAGAATGAAATCTTAGAGTAGAAAAAACAATTTACTAAAAAGCTAATTATGAAAACAAAAAGATAAACTTGCACAAAATTGTTTATTATTATTTTTTCCAGTCGTCATTGAAAATCCTTTAGTTTCCAACAAAGACCCAGAGAAAGGGGACAGATTCTGTCCCACAACACCAAGGTAATTACTACTTTCAATACGGATGTTGCAGAAGAATCGAAAGTCTTCCTCATACTGCTGTGCTTTTAGATAGCTGGAGGGTAGGGATGTTCACGTAGTGTAACACTGTGTTAAATATGATGTAACAACGTGTAATGTCTGATGATGGTGTCAAACGACTCGCTAATTCAATGGCCTGCATCTGCTGTCTCAGCCTCTACAGGCTGCTGGTGACGGAGGCTCATTCCCAGGTGACTCTATGTGCTGACATAGACACAATGGACAGGCTGCTGCCACTGATCCACCTGCCAGTGAAGGACTCCGCAGATTTCTACTCTCTGGGAGACATTGTGGCCAACGGGCAGAGGCTGGATGGCACTGTGATAAATGTACTGGCTGCAGTGAAGTCGGTAGGGCACCTTAAGGCCACAGTCTTTCAGTGTGAAATAGTATAGTTTATAGCTTTTGTGTATACATGGAGAGAGTGGAACAATGGTGATAACGTCACCAGTGTGTTTCTCCCAGTGGAGAAAATATCTGTTCTACATCTATCTTAAGTTTGAAGTATCAAACAGTATCAAAGCTTAGCAAGAAGACTGGATACAGGGGGAAACAGCTAGCCTGGATCTATC